ATTCATTGAAACATAATACCCACGCATTTATCATCGCTATTACTGACATCGCAGAAGTAGTATGAAAAGCGAATTCTAAACCTTTTTCTTGAAAAATAAATATAAAAATAAACCAGTAATACTGAATATATATGTCCATAGCAAGGATTCCTTAGTTTTTCTGCGTTCGAAATCGTCCTCTAACTGGTACAAACGTGTCGACAAACGTCCTAGCTGTCGCCTCATCAATTTCAATTCACGCACAGGATTCTCTTCTACCATCATTGATGAAGAAAATTCCTTAAAAAAATTACATTGCCTGATGACTTTAGATACAGATTTGATACCAATAGATCCTTTTCCTGAATTTGATTTGCATATAAAATCCGGCCTGAAACAATTTCAGAAAAAAGAATCAATACACAACAATCTATCCAAAATGATACGAAAAATGTTTATGTGAAATATAACGAACAATTTATGCGAAAGTATAAATTATGATATGCACAGATTTGAAAAGTAAATATGGACGCACTTGTGAAGGAGGCGAATCCTTAGGAGAAGGCATATCACCAGCAATTTCCGGACATGGCGCTTTATCGAGTGTCAGCGTGCTTGGCGGAGTAGCTAACTGCTACAATGACAACGTTTTACTGCTTAATGTTCCATCCTAGGAAACGAATTTATTCTACTCACTGTCACAAAATTGGTTCGTAACTCTGGACAAAAAAATCGAAGCATAACAATGATTAAAATTAGATGGCTACCTAACGTAACGGAATACTATATATAACTTTGAAAATCCAAGTATAACTACTCATTTACTGATGTCATTACGGCGTAAAATCATTACAGAAACAATAATTTGATTTCATGAAGCCAGAACTTCTCTACAATATTCACTATCCTTACGTTTGTTCCTGCCTCAGATATCTGATGCGTAATATCGAATTAATACTGGTTCCTATTACAAAATACAACTTTAATGACAACACCTAATTTCAATCAAAAGAAAAAAAATCTACATAGAAAGAAGAGAACTTACAGCGGTTGGACAAAGGACAGCTATACGGTCAAACATTACTTCGGATGGTGGCGCACGATCAGCGCGTGTTTCATTGCCTCCAGTGACGAGAATCCTTTCTGGTACACTCATCTGATAAGCATAATTATCAGCCACATTGGCAAAACGCTGTCCTATGTGTTCCTCAGTGCCTCCGGCAATTGTAATATGTTGCGGTACATGCATTTTGTTCTATACTGCAATAATTATTATAATATGCAAAGAGTTTTCCAAATCACATTATAGTGTAATCATACTGAACATTTTTTCCCCGTGTATGTCCGAAAGACATACACTTAGTAGAACAAATTAGATCAATATGAACCTGTTTTAGTTCACCCTTACAAGGTAAACATGGCCAATGGTACATTTGACCTTAGAACAAGTGCCGAATAACCAATTTCCCACAGTCAGTGAGGGAAAGCAGAGACAGCTCTGCACAAGTAAAATCAGAGAAAATGTGTGAAAGTAGGAACTGAAAGGAAAAAGAAAAAGGAGAGAATTCTATGACACGAAAGATAAAAAATAGCTTTGATGTTTGAATATTAGAAGAAACGTAGTTTTCGAAGAGAGCTCAGAGATTGACAAAAATCACAAAAGATAGAATATATAGGAAAAAAAAGACGCGTATTAGAAAGACGCTATGAACATGTCATACGAATTTAAGCTATCGATTTCTCACTACATTTGACCATTGCGGAAATTCTCTACCGTTGTCCAAAGATCAATTACTATAAATGTGGACTAATAGGTATGTAGATGTTTGTATACAATCATATAAGGAATTTTTGAATCGTTTGTTTAAATAGTTAAGTAGCAATCTGAACGAACTTGATAATAGGTTTGTGGAAGCGGGCGTGAATTTTCCTACAATTAATTAATTTGAATCCGACAAATTGGACAATAATGAGGCGAAACATTTTATTGAATGTAAAAGCCTTCATGATGTAAAATGTAAAAGCCTTCATGATTATATTTGCCCTTGATTTTTTGTCCTTGATTTGGAACTATTTCATCATTTTACAATATGAATTGTTAGTCATACTGATGGATAGACATAGAGTAATATTAGAAATGCAAGTAAAGAGAGAGGAAAAGGAGGGCATGAGAAACATGTGGTGGAATGCTTGTCAAATAACTGATTGATAAGGGCCTCGTTAAAAATCGCCATATCTATTTACTATGTGTCATTCCCGCTGAGGAGTGTAATTTTATGCGTTTTCTCGTTTGAATTAATCTGAAATATATGAATTTAATTGCAGGATGGAATGAGTACGGACCGAGAATACTATTTTGTTATTGTTGGACATAATGATCAGCTGATATTTGAAATGGAATTTCCTGTGGTTGGTGCTAAGAAACGACATGATTCGGATACACGTCATCTAAATCAATTCATCGCCCATGCTGCTCTGGATATTATTGATGAACAGATGCTCACTAATCCTCAAATGTATTTAAAGGTATAAGTATACTTATTTGCAATATTTGGTGATATCTGTCCAAAAATATCTGGGAGAATTAATAAAATCATATTTAACATTCTACTTAGGTAATAAACATAAATAACATTGTCTTGAAGAAGTTCCAAAATCACAGACAATTAATAATATGATTTTATTCTGACTGCAGGTTGTGGATAAGTTTAATGAATGGTATGTTTCTGCTTTTGTCACTGCAAGTCGTATAAGATTTGTTATGCTGCACTGCCAGAAGAATGAAGATGGAATTAAACAATTTTTCCAGGTTCTCTTCTCAGATGTTTTTTTGAAAGATGTTCAAAATGTTCGTTTTTTCAGCACTTAGTTCTTTTTTCTGCTTTTGTCACTGCAAATCGTACAAGATTTGTTATGCTGTGCTGCCAAAAGAATGAAGATGGAAATTAAGCAGGTTTTGCAGGTCTTTTCCAACACTACATTTTAAGGAGTTATCAATTTTAACACCGATTTGTTGTCTGTGTGCGCTTTAGTTCCAATGAAATTCCTCCCTAATTGTTTCCCATGTTATTTGATTTCTAGTCATTCCCAAACAGTTGTTTTCTGTTGCAGTTCGCATATAATTTTGAAGCATATTAAAGAACTTAATATATATGTCACATTACCGATATAAAGAAAATTATCACCTTAATGAAAATAGATTTCCTGTTATCTTGAATGGACTGATAATTCATTGCAGGAAATCTATGAAATGTATATCAAACTTTCAATGAATCCATTTTATGAGATTAATTCTCCAATTACATCATCCAATTTCGAACAAAAGTCGATGTTTTATGGGAAGAAATATTTGAACACATAATGAGTTGTATTAGTAATATATTTGGGTAAATTAAATATTATAGAATTTTATTTGTTTTCCATGTGTTGTTTTCAGTAGTGCGAATTAAGCGGTCATATTTATGTTCATTTTTCGATATTTTCTTAATGAAAACAAAAGTGCCAGTTTAGAGGGTTTGTTAGTAATGGACGTAGATCTTGAGACCTTACTTTTTTGCATATTAATGTGATCGAAATGGATCTGCCACGTAGTTTAACAGTTTAACAAAACCATAGTTTAACAAAGAACAAAATATGGTTTGATCTTTGATTTATTTGGGTAACAAACAAATTAAAAGAAATTTCCCAGTGTTAGAACTTATCTTTGATTTTTTCATGCTTGAATTGATGTTCACTCTTCGTTGATTTTCGGGTTTTTTTGTCCAAGTATTATATTATAAAATGTTGATGTTTTTAACAGTAAATAATATTCCAAGTGATTTTTGATATAATTTACTTTTTGATATTTCGAATATAAGATTTTCGTGATTGTATTTTAATGTTATAATTAGATTTAAGCTCACATTACATAGGGTAATGCAATGGTTTGCTAAATGACTGGTAGAGTTACATAAGTCTTATAGAGTACCGCTTGTAGAGTTACATAAAAACTTTGCTCTTCTTTTACAATTCTGTTTTCTTTTACAATAGTCTTT